GCAACTATTGCGACAGTGGCAACTGCGGGGGAGTTCAGTCGCCGGTGGATTCACAAAACATCCCCAGAGATTCCGTTTGTGCGCTTACTTTGCTTTCCATCCCCCAACAGAACTAGTATTTATAAAACTTGCTTGCCCAGACTTTTCTTTGTACTCCCTATCTTTGCCCAAAGCATCTTTGATTTATGGGATGCCTTTGCCCTGCCCAAAAAAGTCTCACCCCCATAAAATAGCAGAGACAAACCAGAGACGGTAACAGATTTCCGCTATACAGTAGTGGCGGGAAGAAAGCTTACGTCATCCCTCGTCACGTGACCTTGTCCTTTTAATACAGTTTTATGGCTGAAAAAAACATTAATAATATATGCATTATAAATCTTTCGCAACAAATTACCGTTTTCATGGATCGCGATCAGAATTCAAAGCCGTTGACCCACCATTGAACTAGCCCCTGTAATTAGGCCCCCTATGGGCAGACATTTGGGTTCATTGAGCATGCAACTTTCCCAGTTTGTTTTCACAATTTTGCTTCAATTGAGTAGGCTAGTCTGAAGATAGAAAATATATCTGATTTGGTAGACAAATTCGATAAGAAGTGTGCTCGGACAGCAACGTCTGGATCACACTAATGTGAATGTATTTTCCTTTTTTTCCCCTGCTCTATAAACCCCCCCCCCATGTTCGTTTATTAATCACTTATATCTTTTACCAAGGAAATTTGGTGTTCAAGCTATAAATCAGAAATACGGGAGACCAAGAAGGCTGGGTATTGCGCAACGAAATACACCAATGCTCATTGAGGTATGAGCATTTTATTTTCTTATTCTGCGATTAGTTGGGTTTATTTTCCAACGAACGGGTATACCTTCAAGTGTGTAAAACGTGTTGTCGCTAATGGGGGGGGGGGGGTGCGTAAAATGATAAAACTTAGGAGAAAATAACCTCCCAAATTGTTTAACTGTAAAGAAGTGGTAATTTTGAGGTTGAGTAAGCCTCCCCTTCCATCCCTTTTTCTAAAGCCCGCAAGACCCTATAAACGCTGGGTATACACCGCGGATGAGGTTCCACCTACATTGATGCTAGACAGACCCGTGTACATTACGTGAGATCACCGGCCAACGGACCAGGCGCGGCCTTGCCCAGCGGGGCCTCGGGACAATAACACGGGGAAGGAAGCGTCTGTCGCCCGGTGTGTGTTTAGCGTCAGCCGAGGTGTGAAGTATCATGTCCGTTAGATCCGGCCATTTGGGAATGGATCGGACACTTGCGCCAGGTTTGAGCAAGATTGACCAGCATACAGTTAATTTCATTAGCTACGGCGTAGGCCTACTATAAGTACAGCCATCGCACACATTTCGTAAGTGTTAATGATCTAATTTTCTCCATTTTTGTAGCCGCTTGTAAGTCAATGTTATCAAGCAATAACATATTACAGTTGGAGAGGAAATAATACTAAAAACACATCATGTGCTTTCCAATATCCGAAGCACCTTCATAAATGTCCCTGTAGGCTCTTAAACTACCTTGAAACAAAGCTTCAAAAACACTGCTTTCACATCTGCAAGGAACATCAATTGATTCTCACAGTTCCTTGATATATTCTGTACTCATTTAAATTATCATAAATTATTATTATTGTGTATTTCAAGCGACATACTTAAAAAGGTTGATCAAATCTAAAACTACCTACAGAGAGATTCACATTTTGAAATATTTATGCGCGTGTTTGAAATACTTGGTTGTTTCCATTAATACATGTTTTGTTTTTAAACAGCATTGCCTGGCACGCTTCATTAATGAGTAACAATAGTCTCACGTGTGCTACCATCAAAGCACGCACTGCCAACATAATGAGAGACAGCACGGCATGTTGCGCATTTCCATCCGATCTTTCTACTACAGACGCACATACCGTGAAGTCTCAACGCCCATACACGCAAATACGTCACCGGGACAAGTTGCCGAGCCAGCCGTTAATGACTCTGCACGAGATAATCTGCGGCGAGCGCCATACTTCGCACCTAATTTGTAGGTGACACCGACTAGTTGTTGAAGGTTAAAAGGAACAACGTGTAATTCGTAGCTTTGCAAATATACATGGTAGCGCCCTGAGGAGCCATCCCACAAGCCGAAGACATATCATTGGGCCTGTCAGGATTTACAACGCTAGACAATATCACTATAATTTAAGTTTATGGCTTAAGAGATCTTTAGTTAACCAATTTCAGCGAAGAGGAGTGTCTATTGTACTGTGTAAATCCAAACCGAGCAGACATCGTAAATTCAGAGTTACCCAGGCAGTCCGCACACTCTGTCCTACCTGCCTCATCCACGTGCTGCGTTGCAGTCGTAAAATGCACTGACATATATATTGACAAGATTCAATAAACTTGAGCAGTTTTGAAAGTGAAAACACTTTGACCATTTACTGCCGTACATCTTTTGAAGTGGAACATAATGCAATTCCCATTTGAGTTTAGTTTAGGCCCTAAATGTAGATTGTAAAATCTGCAATGAAAACAAATTGTTTATTTGTTTATTTAAATAATTATCTTATAAGATACCACAAAGTTACGTTTTCAACATCAGCGTCTTCCTTTGACTTGTAGACACGTGCTTATTTAGTCAAATGTGATTTCTAGCCTGTTGGCCTGTGGGCCTACTGTTGCTATCAATGAGGTGATATTTTGGATTTTTGGCTTCGTTGATGTCTGCCGTCTGTCAGACACCTCCCGCCCATTCTAAACGCTTCAACCCTGAACCATTTGCACTTTTTCTCCAACTGGCAATCGGAAAACTTGGGCTTCAAAAGGTGCAATTACGGGAGCAGACCTAATTAAATAATCTTTCAAAATTAACTTTTCAGGAAAATGGTTCCAACACAAGCGGCAATTATACCTAAATGCACAAGGACAATAGTTGCAGCTGTGTTTTCCACCCAAAACTCTACCGGAAAGAAAAGAGCCAAATTTGTTGCTCGTTAGGAGGCAGCGTTTGAAGCCCCCCGACAGAGGCCGTGGTGATCAGGCCCAAAGTCTATGTTTACCGTGCCGAGAGATTTCCAACACGCTGGCGATAAAAAGACGATTTTGGTGTGAAAATGACCGACGTATTGCGGCGCTTAGCGAGTGCCGGTCTGTTTGAACGGACCTCAGAAGTGAGTTAAAAGTGGACGCGGCATGCCTTTGACACGATGCTGTCTCGATACAGATTGCACACCCGCAGCGCCTGTGGCACTATATTGCCCTTCCTAGATTCACACCACGACTGTTGACAAATCGTTTAACCTTTGGTTGAAATCAAAAAGAAAACACCACCACAGAGGCACACCGATTTTTCTCCTTTTGTCACACCATACACCAAATTTCCATCTAGTGTCAATATCATTGCCGGAGTCATAGACAATAGGAAACAAATGAACTTTTGTGCGGGATATGTCAATTAATCGGCACTATCAGGGGGAGTTGATCGCGTGAACCGCCAGGCCACAATGAAACGGCGGCTATATTTTATCTCGGTTTTGTCACATTGGTCCAATATGCGGTTCTAAGCATTTCCCAAATGGTACTTTCACGACATGATTACCAGATTTTTCAAGTTCAGAATTTATGTGCGCAGCCCGACCACAATCTATAACATGCACAAATCTCCGGCGTTATTAACCTTATACATGCTATTTTCTCCCATGAAGATGGCTCTTTCGAAGAAAACAAACTACATCTAAGTTCACGAAATCGTACATTATCCGTCAACGAGGTAACGGTATCGCAGCGGCTCGTGTCGACCTGCAACGGGCATCACGACCGTGCGATCCCGTTGTTCTCGGTAGGCGTTTCGCACCAGGGCAATATAATTGAAGCAAGCGTATCTTGTAGCTGAACATTCATTGCATTCATGCAAATCAGTACGCAAGAATTTGTCTTCCCGACTTAGAGTTCGAGGTATAAATGCTACTGCAAAAGCCAGAGACGTTCTTGTAGGGTTACCATCAGTGAAATGTAATGTCTTTAGTGAAGTTATTTACAGTACATCGGTGTTTTCAGAACCATAGTTGAATGCATTAGACACAATCGCTTGTTGTTCGTTTTGCTTCCCTTTGAACCGATTTTCATTCGACTGTTTCGACATTACAAATGCGCCCAATCTAAATGGCGGCCGGGTCGGACAAACTTATTACTGAAGGTAGCGAGACGGTTAAAAAACACCAACCCCTTAACCACGAAGCTTTCAGAAGTGAATCCGCTCTATTGCTCAAGTTCACAGAAAATTATGCCGCTGTTCGTGATTATTTAGTTACTTCCTGTTTCTGTCTGGATGATAGGCCCAGGTCAGACTGAAGATGAGTAACACATCTTCATGTTTTTCTCCTTCGGGGAGTTCAAGTTTAGGTCGTCTTCCGAAAGGGGGTCCAACAAAATCGACCGGGGCAATTTATTTACATCACCACATCGCGGTGTAATGCATGAGTGTGGACAGTTGGGAGTGTGTCGAGTCACGAATGTTATATTAAGGTCATGGAGAAACATTGTTTGGTTTTATTGGATAACAAATTGGGGCGATTGTGAGGAACAGGTTGATGGGTAACTAACGATAGTAGCTTGATATGGGTTGGAGGGAAACTTTGGAAAGGATGTTCTAGAATAAGAAGCTCGTTATTTTTTTAGTCAACTCTATTGTAAACCAGGCCTTGTAGGATTATCTCATCAAATATCACATTATTTGGCCTATTATCAGATGCATGCATGCCCCTTTGCGCCACTCAAATATATAAATCTGTTGTTGACAGCCATGTAAACAGTAGTTAACAAATAAACATGTTTATCCTTTTTCTCCTCCAGGAGTTTAACTAAATTGTGTTAAGGCAAAGTGTGGTCCATAAACATGCAGACGGACGTACAGATTAATTTTTGTATTGTCTTGGATTTGAATGTTTTAAAAGAAAAGTGGTAAAGCACATCCAACCAAATGACACGAGAAAAAAAATTAAAGATCAGCGCCAGTTTTTTCCCAGTATCTCCATAACATATTTACTGCTACTGATATACGCACGATTCATAATACAATGACAAATGTGTACAACTCATATTACATTAGGGATTTGTCGTCCGTTTGAGCATAAATGGCTTCAATTTGAAATAATAAGATTGGAAACATGTCTGATCGTTTACAATGTTCTTACACGTTTACAAAAGTACAAACAGTAAGAAACGGAAACAAAGAACAAGAGATGAATTAATTGGCCAATTCAATGATTCTTCTGGTCATTACTTGTCTTGCAATTTGTGCTTCATTAAGCTGCATGTAACGGAACAGAAACTATATATGGAGCTGACTATCAAATCGCAATTAATATTATGTTAGGAAGAATGAAATCATTCAAAATATGTTGCCATCCAATTGCCAAACTAATTTCTCTTCGTTTCTTTCTTTTTTAAATAGTTGAATGTTACCAATCGAAGTTGAAGTGGATTATTGTTTGTACAATGCATGTAGTCATGGGGCATTCCTTTATTATGTTGTTTCAACATAATAGCTAAATACACAAAAATCGTACTACATGTAATACTGTTTATGTGATACTAATTCCAATTTTTTGATACATTAATAGATTTGAAAAACATGACAGTGGCTGTATGTTTTCTGTGTCTATTATGACGGCAATGTACAGTAGCAGTTGATTTGCCATTCTGTATGAATTTTTTATTAAAAATGCTCGGAATTCGGTTAGTTTTGTGTCATTAAGTGTAAGAGCTACGGCATGCAAAATTTAGCATCATTGCATCACATATTCAGGATCATAATGCATGCACGTTCTTGTCATTATGCAGTACATCTGCGGCAAGCAGTCCGAACCAACAGCAGTGAATAATTAAATATCGCAACAATTAGGCCAACATCATTACATCTGTGAGAAATCGTGTCAAATCAATCTTTTTTCCGCCGATAATTTTTGTTGCATCCCCACTTAAAACAAAATATGTCATAATACAGCTGCACCATATCACCTATGTGATAGGCCACTAGGAGGACAGCTAATGAATTTCTCACCAGAGAACTATACGTCCCCAGCGAACGAAACACGATACACAGCCAATTTTTGGTGGGGGAAAGAGGACACGAAAATGCCAATATATCTTCGGCGATACTCGCAAGCGTGACATGTAGGTTATTACACGGTCAATATAATACGATGCGGCCTTCTGTGGGAATATTCTCTGGATGTAAAAGTCACGTGACCGCTAGAGTACAGCACTGTCCGCCATGTTTGTATTAATGGGTGCGAACAGCAAGAACAGATGCCCACAACAACAACGATTATTCAACGCTACCAGTCTCTACGGCTGTCTTATCCATCATTTCTTCCCCTCCTCGTCCGACCTCCCCTTTTCCATCCCGTCTTCTTCATCTTCTTCGTCCACATCCTCATCCTCGTCTTCGTCTTCGTCCCGGTCTCCGTTCTCTGTCTTCCCCGGGGAGTTGTCCTCCGCCGACGGGTCCTTGCACTGCTCTTTCTTCCACTTCATCCGTCGGTTCTGGAACCAGATCTTGATCTGTCGTTCCGTCAGGCAGACGCTCTGAGCGATCTCGATGCGCCGCTTCCTTGTCAGGTACCGGTTGAAGTGGAATTCCTTCTCCAGTTCCAAGGTCTGGTACCGCGTGTACGTCTGCCTGCCGCGCTTTTTATCTGTCCCAATCATCTGAGTCCCTGAGGGAAAAATGAAAGCATTGATCAGTACCAACTAGTCCAGACCCACCTCGTGTGCACGTTTTCAGTGATTCGACCAGGTTCAATTTCACATCGAGGCGTCTTTCAGTCCTGGGTTTTGAGAATCTTTTTGCCAATTAGGACGACGTGATGTGCCCTTGAAATCAGCGAAGGAAACGCTGTCTGTCTTTGCCCCCCAAAAAACCTTAAGTTTCTTAATTAAGGCGTCTTGAAATAAAGTATCAAACCTGTGCACTTTTACCTAGAAATTATAATTCTAAAACCGCCAAAAGTTGCAAGAGGGAGCGTGAAGCACAACAAGTTTATACAGGTACATGTACATTTGCAAAACTGTTCAACAAAAAAGAGCTCTGAGCAAACAGTGACTTGGTTGTGGCAGAAAAATTCAGCTGGATAATGTTGTTTTCAAGCAATCAATCGGTGTTGACAATAAACAAACCGAGAACAATGTTTCCACATGTTTCACATGTAATTTGATTCCGCAGTTTGTGTACGGGTTTTGCCTGTGATGCAGTCCCGGTGACAAACATTAGGCAGACCCACGCTGAAAAAGCTTCATTTCCCGCTAGAGTTTCCCGCCGGTGAAAAGGTGTCGAGCGGCATTTGAGAAAATCCTGAATTATCTGCAGGCTAAAGGTGTCGAGCGGCATTTGAGAAAATCCTGAATTATCTGCAGGCTATATAAGACGGAAACATTGGCATTTTAAGGGGAAACTGTTTTTAATTAATGCACACGGTGCATGAATGTTTCAGAGTTTTGCTTCTTAGATTGGAAAAGCAGAATCGATATTATCAAGCTGACAAACAGTACTTCTGACGCCACGGAACATTCAACTCTTTATCTTTTGCGTAATTTCGAGCATTGTTATTTTTGTAGAGATTGCTTGTTTTGTTACTATACCAAACCAAAAGTGGTCCCTAGATATAGTTAAGATATAGGAGAGTTTCTTAACTTATAAGGCATTGTTTATATTTTTCCGAAAGGTATGAAGTGAAAATGAGCGCAAACGCTACGATTTTTGTTTATTGAAAAGAACTTCGGTAATATTATATGCATAATATATTACCGAATAAAGAAAAAAAACTGACATAACAGTGACGTACAAATAACCCATATTGCCACAATCCTTCGCTATTATTTTCTATTGAAATGCCCATATCACCTTGTATTTAGAAACTCCACATACAACCAGATAAACTTAAAAAGAATAAAAGAAATTGAATAAAGAAAATAGAAATTGGAAAAAAAAGAAGAGAAAGTGTGCTTGAAAACAGAGAAAAACAGAGCTTCGCCTTTTTAGCCAATATTTATTTCTAGGCGGTGCGCACACCGCAACGTTGGTAATCACCGGGTCGCTAAGTTCAACTTCCCGGGGCCTGGGCCGCGTCGCGCCCCATAAATTACCCGAGAGAAACCTCGCACGACCTGCCTTTTTTGCCCGCTGATTGGGACTTTTTTTTTTTGCTTGTTGTTCCCTTGTGGTTCACCATTTCGAGGAGGTTTGGTTTGGCATGGGAGGGGGACATTTGGGTTTTTTGTTTTAGAGATGACAAAGACATTTACGAGTCTCCTGGGCTGGCGGACCGGTCAAGTAAGTTGTGGTCAGCCCAAGTCGTTCGACAGGGTCATTTTGCGGGAGCTGACCCTAACCTATTTGTTACTCTATATTTATTAACATGTTCTCTCTGACTTCGACCAAACTTCAATCCTATTGTTTCTATCAACAGTCAAAGGAAGATGGCTCTGTCATTTCTGGGATTAAATGAAACCACATTTGGCCCCTTTAAAATGAGAAAAGTTGGAATTTCTTGAATATTTGAACGAAATGCCAACCACGGTGATTGAAACGAAATATACCTTTTCACGATTGACTATATACATGCATGGCCAATACGAAAGTATAGACGCCCAAAATTGCCAATTTACTGTTACAGCAGCAGTTGATTTTTTTTCATCAGCTACTGATTTATCCATAATTTATTTATAGTTTCAAGCCAGCCATTGCAATTTTTTGCTTGTAGTTCCTCTTGTTGTATTGGAATTCTTAACCAATTTGATCCCACAAGCGAAATCAAACGTGGCATCGGGATTCAAATGAATAATTCCAAGGTTTTTTCAGAGCTCGAAACTTCAATCGAAGCCGATTCTTCTTCTTTAAAATGACACATGAACAGTTACATTCAAGCAAACAGCACATAAACGGATGGAAGGCCAGGATCAAGGTATAGCTTTTAATAACAGCAATTATTTGAAATTACACGCTACTGGTGAATAGAATCGTCGAAAAAAGTTGAACATCTCAAGTAAAAAGTACTGTGTTTCAAAAGGCAACAAAACTTTGTGTTGCAATAACACGGAAATAAAACTGCATGCGGGTTTTAAATAACATCTACAAAGCGAAAGATTACTGTTCGCTTTCAATCTCACCCAGTTTTTTTTTTACACCAACTGTCGTGTATATACACAATGTGCAACCTGTCCCCTTCTATTCAACGGAAATACCATGTTTTTTAATGGAAACCCAAAAAAAAGGTATTTCAGGAAAAAAAAATTGATCAAACAAAGAAATATGCATCAATTTAAAAAAGGGTCAGTGCTTGATTGGATATTGGGCAAATGTAGATTATCTATATAGCCTAATTAAGAGTATTTTAACTGTAAAATAAATGTATCACTTGATTTGCCTTTGTGCAAACATTTCGTTCTTCCCAACAGAATTAGAAACACGGAGGAGAGTGGCTATTTTTTTATAATCATATAAGTTTATAATCATCCTCGATGATCTCTTTTCCAAGCGTTTTAAAGATTAAAACATAGGAGCAATTTTTAAAAATCCAAAACAGACATTGTCCATACTGCGGTAAAAAAAAAAGGATTTGAAAAGGCACAAGTTGACAGAAAGTTGCCTTGAACGGGCGCAATGTATTATTGTTTGTTCCATTCAAAAATTAAAGATGCTAAAGTAAAAAAATGTCTCTGTCTTTGATTTCCTCCCTCGAGAGACACGACGTTGTCTTGTGAAGTTCTGGAAAGTTGCATCAACAATGACCTTGAGCAAATATTGTAGTTCATATTGAAGATTGTTTGACTGCCACTCATTTGATCATCTTAGGTCCGCAAACTGTGCTAAAAAAATCGCAAAAAGATTTGCATCTGTTCTGACTACGCAGTATGATGAAAAAGCAGGACATTATCAAATGGAATTTCATAACAGAATATTCTGAGACTTAAGAAACACCAAAAATCAAACCTTCATTTTCCGATGAAGCGTTTAGTCAAATCCCATTCCAGGAAAGAATCTTAGTTCAACCGGGAAAAAAATCATAAACTTCACAAGTATTACCTCCAAAAGATTATAACAAACAAAATAAGATTGAATTGGTTTTTGCTTCAAGAAAATTACGAACGATGTTAGATTCAACTGTTAAATTGTATATAAGCGGTGCCGACTTCTTTTGCTGTTTAATTCCTTTTCTCAGTGGTATAACAGTTTAATGGGTAGCTATATCCAAGGGATTTAAATAGTATTTGAAATTTTTCGAATGCGCCAACTTCTTTCCCGCAGGTAACCATTGATCTTTTCTGGTCTCCAATTCGTTAGTTTTTAAGAATCCTCCTCTGAAAGGCGAGTTGTACTGATGAGGCGAATGACATCTTTGAGTAACCAAGACCCCAGGCGGTTTATTGAAACATAAAAAAGACAACATGTCGCCAGCGGAGTCGTTTCTGTTGTAGGTAGAACGTTATAGGTCATGTTCATGTGTGTGCCTTTTGTTTCAGAAGTCGAAAGTGTGTGTGTGTTTTTTCTCGCTAGTTCTAGAAACGTGGGTTCGTATGAGATTTAAAAACTTAAACCAAATTATTTGAGGTTTTCAACTGATCGCTTTATTATGGCAACGACTTATTACTCTTTTTTGTGAAACTGAAATAAATTTGTCCCAGAACATTCCTACACGTTGCATTTTCTCGTAAAATGTGAATATCTTAGAGCCCAAACCAATGAACCAATTCAACATCTTGTGAAAGGCGATTTTCGAGAAATCGCCTGTAAAAACTCTTGTGTATTAATACACAAGCATAACTGGTTTTTTTTCTTCCAATAAAATCATTTTAATCCAATGGACTGGATTCTTGATTGGTGAGGAGCAATGTCCTTGTTAGCGTGGTCTATTAGATAATCAACAAACCCAAATTTTAAAGAAAAGGGAGGATGCCGTGACTAGGGACATGTTAACGTACATGTCTAACATATACCTCGGAAGATGAGAGGTTCAGATATTTCCAACGATTATGAGTTTCTTTTCGGTTTCAAATTACAGGGACCGTTTTTAACATCCTTTAAACTAAGCCCTTGCGCAATAGCGCTTATCTTGATATCGGGCACCGCATCTATTCATTATTATTAATATTACATGGTACATGAGATAATAATCTTTGCATTCCAAACACAAATGTGTTTCCTGAAAGCTGGAGAAAAAAATCAAATCTGCCGTGCCTTGATAAAAACCATGTTTACGCCCGCCTAGCGATAGGACGCTCCCCTACGCCGCGGAATTCTTGTCCTTTCTAGTCACCGCTACTGACATTCGAATCACAATCATATATGTTCTCAGCGGGGTTTTTAGTTTAACTACCTGCAGTAAAAATCTCACTTTGTTTGATTCATTGCCCACTGTCGTCATTTATTTTCCCGGCTCGCAATATTGCAGGTTGTTCGGGGTATGGTTTTTTTCTGTCTCTCTGTCCCCAGATAAGGAAGCATGCTACTGTAATCTGCCTCAGCAAACATCATTTGCAATCTTGCGGGCAAGGCAAGGCATTTTTATCCCTGAACTCCGGCTCTGTAACAAAGGCAGTATTTCTTGAAGAAACCGCCCTGATTTCAGTGCGCTCAAATCGTGATGTTCGGTGCCCAACGAATTTAACGACAGAATCGGGGAAACATCAACACTTTTACCCAAAAAAGATAGGTTTTGCCTTGATTCTCAACGTTTCAGATGAGAATAATTCTTGGGAAAAGAAAATGGGGTTTTTTTTGGCCTTGTCGTGTACCTTTCGTTGCCATTTTTTCCTTCGCAATCTTCCTAATGTAGTAATTCATAAAAATAGTAAAACAAAAAATAATGAAATCGTTATTGAAATGAATAAAAATCTATAGCAACTTTTATATTTTGAACAGTATTTCAAGTATAGTTTTAACTTTGGTGAGGTGTTAATCGAGAGAAGACAATAAACTTCGGAGACTACAAAACATCATTGTAAATTTTCTGTAAAATTAGGATATTTGCATCAAACTAAAATAACAATACATCTTAAATAAAATCAAAAAATTGTGAAAATCAAAAAGTCCCAAACTATTAGTCTTAAATCAAATAGCTATAGCTTCAGTGAATCATATAAGTTGGGCATCGTTGCAAATACCATTGTTCAAATAAAAACGGATGATATGTCTCTACAACCATATCGGGAGAAGATTGAAAAGTCCATTTTCACCACCACCAAGGCTTTAAAACGCTATGTTGTTTTCAAACACGTTGTTCGACACCAGCAATGTTGAATGGATCATCCATTTAGCAACTTAGGGCACGCGTACTGGGGCTATAGTCTGCGTAAACTGAACGGGGATATAATCAAAATATCACCCCGTATGACCTTCCGTGTTTCCTTGTTTTATTACATGCTCGTTGGCGTGTTTTTACGCACCAATTGCCCAGCGTGTGGTTTGGCTTCAATCACTAATTGTCCACGGACCATAATGTATTATTCAATCGGTTAATCCGCCCAATTTGTTATTTACAATTGCCGGAATTAATGTTATCATTTTTTTAATCCGATCGTTAATTAATTAAAATTAGGTCATCAAAAACCCCGTTGTTAATTTTTTTCCCTTTTGCTTTACTGTTTTAAGCCGAACAACACACAAAACAAACCACATAGTCTTTTTTTAAAATTAAATTCAATTATACCCCTATTGGTCATCACACAGTCAAAAGATTTCAAACATTTGCTTTTGAAAAATGAAGCAATGTCAACATTGCCATAAGTTCAACTCGGTTCAATCAACTGGCAAATTGAATTTTCCCACTTGATTTTGAACACGTGTTGCCAATCTGGACACACTTTTGGGTGCAGATCGTGCATGGGACTTGGAAGAGTTTGGGAAACAGATGTAAATATGCCCAATGTTTGATTATACAGCAATCGGACCAATAAGAAAACCAAAGGCTTCGGCTGGGCTGCCGTCTGGTCGATCCACAGCGAAATTAAGACAAATTGGTGCATAAAGGATGCGGACTGATCATTGTATATACCCGGGGTGCGCTTAGGGACATCACGACAAGTGACTAAAAGTAAAAGCGACTGCACACTTAACTCGATTCCCTGATATCTTGGAACAAAGTCCTTGAAGATTCCCGATAAATTAGAAAGTCGAGTCTTAAGTTAAGCTAGTCGTTTTATAAGAACCTGCTTTATTAAAACTTTCAATGCGGAGTTTTCTAATAGAACTCTGCGTCTGCTCAATACCGTACTTTACAGTTTACAATATTTCCCAGAAAAATATGAAATACTGAGATAGGCCTGTTAATGTTATTGGAGGAATAGATATCTCATTGTTTGATGTCAAAAAGTTAGGAAAGTTAATAAAGTATTTGTTCGCCCTTTCACATTTATTGTGACTTGTTTTATGAAATATTTAAATATTTCTCTTGAATATGGTCATCTTGTTCTCGGTGATGTATTGTATACACAATTAAATATGATTTTTTGAATACCATGATACTCCCTAAAAAATGTGGGTTCCCGGCCTCCGTACTGAATAATGTAAACGTAAGTTTAAAAAAAACAATTAAAACAAACTAAAATGCATTACAACTGCAATGTTACCCTTCGGCCCTTCGCAACTCAATGTTACCCTTCGGCCCTTTGAAACCTCAAAATGTCACATAGATACATGTATTTTGTTCATAATTTCCCTAATTTCAAAATGCAGTGTGCACAAACAATGTTATGATTCTACTTTTCATTTTAACCTGCCCAACAGTCTGACAATTTGGCAGAGATGGAATATGCCGCAGAAAACACGGTTGTTCCGCGGACATCTGTCCGCGGCGTACGTGATACCAAGCACAGCGGGACAGTACGCGCATATCAACGGTAGTCAACATGGTTGTAATTACGGGCGATCATGTAATTAATACAAGTTACATTGAAATAAATATTTGGGGAAGAAATTGAACCAAATATTAACTTACAAAACAGACATTGAGATAATGAGTGACACACTGAGGCTCCTGTACTATCTATTTGACTGATTAAATGTGTAAGCATACTGTGTTCCTCGACCCAAAACTGTAATATATTACCGTCAATTTGTCACGAAAGTTGATTATTTTGCCGCAACAATATGAAAGGTGATATTTTTTTACAGATAATGCTCTGTTTGCTTCGATGAAAAATGGGTTGACTTTCAATGATAAAAAAGACAATGAACTGATGAATAGCAACTCATTGAAGTAATTCATTATAATAAATTTGGCTGAATGATAGAATTTGGACCAATGAAAAAAACATCGACTTTTTTTCTAAATCAGGAGTACGAATTGTCTTTTTATTCTCTACAGACTCTAGTCTTTATTTTCAATAGATTTTTTCCATAATATTATCCTTCTACTCTTTTCTATATTTTGGAGAGGGTTATATTAAATGTTGCTTTCAATAATAGCAAAATAAATTGAAAGATGATTTTTCTTTCTTCAGTTCTTACCTGGAATTTTCATCCATCCATAGACGGGACCTTTGTACGTTGTAGTATTCGAGTCCGATTTTTTGTCTTTATTTGATTGAAGAAGGTTGTCTTTACTGTGCTGTCTTTCCGAATCTAACTGCGTAACTCTTGTGATCTGTAGTGGGTAGCAGGCCCCCTCTAACACTCCGCTGGTGGGCCCCTTTTCGGCGGTATTCCAAGCCCCCTGGTGGTGGTAGTTCGCCGTGGCATAGCCACCCGTGTAGGAGTTGAACTGGTTTTCGTATCCCGACTGCGAGTAGTGGGGATTGAAAGAACAGGATGGGTAGTTGTAGGCGGCGGTGAAGGCCTGGGAGTTGAGCCCAGCCCCGGCCATGCAGTTCGTAGCGGCCGGGGAATTATCGTAGGATCCAAACGGGCCGCTGGGCACGCCGGCTGCGCATCGCCAGCCGCCCGGAGCCGTCGAGTCCCCCACTATCGTGCCCCGACTGGGTGCCACCGGCTCGAAACCGCTCGGAAACCATGCCTCGCCGGGCTGATATTTCTCGAACAACGACTTGAGAAAGTATTGGCTCATTTGAGAGATTGATTTGTGACCTCGTTTTGCCCGTTTTATGGCTTTTCTGGCTTGAGGAATTTGTGGATTTACTGCTGTCAGTGGAGCGGCCTTTGTATGGCACAAGATGGCGGGCTTCTCAGCCGGATGGCGTGCTATCAGCCAATCACAGATCGACCTGGTGAAAGTGCGCAGTGTAAAAGAGAAAGAAACAACCATTATGCAATCGTGCATGTACCATTGATGTCATCAACTCACATGACTAGTGACAACAATGCATTAACATTTATCATATTCATTGGGGGGAAAAAAAACAGATCAACTACTTCATCTGCCGGGCTATATACATGTACATTCAGCGAGGCATCAGTGACAATAAATAATCCAAACACATTGCAAACCATAGTGCGATTCGATAAAGAAAATTAAAATCATATAAATATTGACAAATAATAATCCTCATTTTCCGCTTTGGTTTTTTTCTTCATTCATCGTTGCTCTAATGCGCAACAAATATAATGGAGAATATACCTGATTTGTATCAAACGAGATAGTTGGTACATTACAAGTGCAAACCCGGTGCTTAGGCTATAAGTCTTAATATTAATTTTTAAAGGAATTATTATTTATTAGCTCATATTTTCTTGAGTCCAGATTTAACTTTCACTCAACTTGGTTATAGATTTCAAGACTTCACGTCGAGTAGCATCCGAATTTTGGCACAAATACCATACCATGCCCCGTGATTAAACAAAGTTAAAAAAAAAAAAAACCGAGCTCCTCGTCCGCCCCCACCTCCTTTTTTTAAAATTCAGTTTTCAATATTTTGTTTTCCAACAAAGTTGAAGTTATGTAGAAAAAAGGGTTATGGCTCCCTTGGACACAATTTCGTATCAGCGAAAAAGTCGATTGCAGATTCTATCCGCCATCTTGGAAAATCCGCCACCTTGGGGGAAAAAACGAAAACAAAAGTCCCCGTCTCCTTCATTTTTCTTCTCAAAAAGGCCGAACGAGAAACTACTTATTTTTGTATACGAGGACTAAGCAAGATGCGGCCAACTTCTAGCCTTTCTCCTTCTGAATTGGGTGCAATCTCAAAACAGATTTCCTCAAACAAACCCTAAATTCCATTTGGAGGATTGAGATCCTAATTTCTGGAAGGAGTATTGGTAGAGGGGATCTTGTTTCAGCCACTCCTCAGCCCCAAGCAGCCAACCTAGGGGATCTCAGTTCATAGTACTGCTTCGATATTTAGATGTCCAGTTTTATTTAAATTTATAATCAAGTGTTAAATTAATTTTCAAGAACTTTCACTCACTGTTTTATGAAACAGCGTAGTTTAAATCCACGTCATGGGCGCACGTTTACATTTCTAGCGGTAGCGGCATTGACGGTAGTCTTTTCGGTCAAAAAGTCCATTTTTTTTCTTTAAAATTTGGTTCACTTTTTAGTTAAAAAACAAACAAACAAACAAACGACTCCCTAACACCAGGCTGGCTACACGCCTACAGTACATACCCTTCACCAGATATAATTATGTTCCTATAATTGTCAGATATTTCAGGTATAATACAGTCTACAAAAAGTACAATACATCTTTTATAATACATCGGAGGCAAACTAATTCTCCATAGCTTGGAGCTTAATAAATATGTCGACACGAATTTATTTTTTTATTTTGTTGGGTAAGCAAAAGTGGTTAAGAGAATGAGAAGCAGGTTGGTCAGGTGGTTTCTGGTTTCGGGTAACTTCCGTGCACGTACATACACGATACACAGGGGACAAGACTATAGGATACAGATCATGGTGGTTGAATTTGTTTGTGTGTTTTTTCTCATAGGTCTATACTCAGTGGTGGATATATCTAAGGATGACGTCACCACTTCGTCCGCATGATGTGGACCCAACAACCAACACGATTCCAATACCGTAGCTTAGCGACATGATGGGTGGCGTGGATAGGGCATTCGTAGAAAAACAAAGGTAGGCATGCAGTGATATAGGGAAGGAGGACAAATTGATGGGAGAAATTAAATCGAGTCACAACGATGTACCAACATTCGGAATCCGACGGGGGGGGGGTCGGTAAATAGCGCCCTCCGTTGAAAATGAAAAGTGGCAGGCAAATAAACAAGCTGGTTCGTTTTTCCTGCTCCTAAAGCTTTTAGACATTGTGTGGCAGTATTCCATCAGGACATTGTATTATATTCCCGCTGGTAATCAGCCATTCGCAGATTTTGCCATTATAAAATTGCTTGCGGTTTGTAGTTTGTGTGCAGGGAAGTAATGCATCCGGGACACTGACACACAGTTGCCATTCCAAAATTGCTAAACCTGGTTCCAATTTGAAGGAACAATCAGATACCAATAGTTCCTTCTGATACCGTTATAAATCAAATATTGTGCACCTGACCAGGGGTTAAGCTCAACTATAACCCACTTTTTTTCTTTCTTTCCTTTCAAACCCCGGTAGGAAAAAAAACCTCGAAATCATAAATTTTCACGGGTGGGGCTCCCTTCCCGACTCTCAAAAACATATGCTTTCGCGCTGTTCTCGTCGACCTTTTGAATGTGAAGCACGGGGGAACCTCTCTCCTCAGATCAGAGAGCGAGGAATGCAGTGTCTGTCTCCCTATCGGGAATCGTTGTTTTATTTATTGTGATTCGTCATGACGAGTACCAAGATATGCCGGCAACTGGCTCTCGTAGTTTACGCTATGTGACGGCAGTGGACCGGCTGAAAGTGGGCCGCTCCGTGATTTATTCCTGACATTTTGGAACTTATGTTTTTAACCTTTGTTTTGGCCCCGAATCCTGAGGTAATTTGGCGGGCTTCAATTTCTAGGTCAGATACGGACGAATGTTACCAAATATTTAGAGTACGGGAGCGCTTGTGTCGTTCCGATTGAACCACTTGAGATGGATTTCCAGATGGGGACAAAATTTCGTCAGCAGGAACAGAACAAAATGAGTAACTGGCTTGTTTTATTGAGCGCAAATAATCTGTAATTACCAACGACATTGAATGCTGTTCGCTCACATCGCAATCTCTCACCCCTCCTCTATCCACCGATTCTTTATCATCCTTTCTCGTTAATTCAGTCTTTAGCGATCATCACCACTCACCATTAAGATCATCCCAATCACCATCCTCGCCTTTGCCATCCAAATCAAAATACCTGAGTCTGAGGAATTCCAAACCACGGCTTCAATTCTGGTTGCGGCTTCGTCCAAACAATTATAAAAAAAATCTTAAATTCCTGAACCAGATGCACCTATATACCCCATGATATCAAGTGGCCACCGAATTAAGAAGAGAGCCTTGCTTAAAGTGAAGATTGGGCTGGTATCAAATACTCTGTGAAATTATTCTGCGAGACGTGGTTTCGATCGAAAGAAAGCAATAATTGAATTGTGTTTTTCTATTTAAAGTTTGCCACACTGGCACAATTTTTTACGTGTGTTAGCAACGGAATCCAGTCACGAGAGCCCGAAAAAAGGATGCGGTGTGTTTTCTGTTTTCTCAAAATGTAGTAGCAACCGAGATAAAAAAATCAACAGGTAAGTTGTTATTTTGAAGTAGTTTTGTCTATAAACGAAAAAAATGGGCACGTATCAAATGATCCTATGCATCCAGATATCGGTCTCAACTCTTTGACTGTCCATCCCTCCGTGGATGTGACATCATGAATCTCGAGCCTGAAGGCTGAATTCCAGCTGAGACTGGAGAGGAGGCCAAGGAGAAACCATATGCACGATCTCTCCTCGTATCGGCTTCAAGGAGGGCTTAGTTATAATTGTTTGCATTTATTTGAACCATTAAACGTGTAAAGGTACCAATAAGGAGACACGTTATCGTAATTTCTTCGCACCGGATGGGAGACATCGGTCATTTTCATGTCTCCCTAATGTCACAGCCCCCATTTAGAGGCACAATTTCATCGTCGCAATTAGGTTATGTTTGTTGCTCGTGGTCTAATTAGTATAAACATACCGAAATTCGTGGAAAAAGGACAAAGGAATATTGGGTTAGGGCACATTTAAGTTTGAAAAAAATTGTGCACAAGTCTATGGGGATGTCTCCCAAATGTCCAATCCAGGGTAGTTATTATCACCACCATTATCATAATCATCATATCATCACCATTATAATCCGACGACCGTCCTTACCATCTACACCATCAACATTGGCACAACCACCACTTTGTTCACCACCCCACTACCACCATTATCATCACAATATCACCACCATCACCACTATCACCACCACTACGTCCATTAACCTTTACATGCATAGTATTTTATCCCAGTTTAATCTCATGCTTGCTCAACCGTTTAATCATCCTCACCATATCATCGCACTTTCTCTATGATCATAAACAGTTCAATATTGCAGTTGCTATCATCGTAATTGAGAAAATCTAATCACAAAACGGTGATAATATATTCGTTCTTCCAGGGACCATGGGCCTCCCTTGGGACAATAGATGACCGCATAGAGACACCACTGCACTGGATGTATTACGGAACATGTTTTTTTCTTCATATTAAATCATATGATTATGAGCAAGTTATCAAAATTGAAAATGAAACAAGTGATGATAGGGCCTACAGGTTTGTGTTTGAAATTAGAGCCTGATTTATTTTAAATGAATGTTTACTCAAAGGGGTAGGTTTTCGAAGCGACTGAGACCACACTTTTGTTTAACAGTTTCATCAAAGAGTTTTAGAAACTGTTTTTACCGTGAGATCGGGTTACTCAACCAATTCTGTTTTTATATCAGGAATAGGCCTATCTGTTCAGTTTCACCATCCAAAATGTCAACGCACATGAAAACAGTTTCTTTAAAACTACATTTTCTTTTCCCTGAAGACATTTGTCTGTCATGAGGTAGACTCGCGCATCGCCACTTGCCAGTAAGAAAGAACCCACAATAGCCTACGGAATGATTTGTTATCCTTTGTTAAGTGCAGCAAATGCCAGCAGACCAGCTCCGTGGTGTGCGCATATCCCGTCGCCATGATGCAATTAGCCAAAGCTGCAATAATTTACACGTGCTTCCCAAATAAAGACAGGTGTTTCAGATTCAGCGGTGTCAAGCGGGTATTTCCTGATATTATTCGCCTGAAAGGCGATACTTTGCCCGCACACCTGTGTGCCTA